AAGAGATAGCTGGGAAGGTTTGGAGGACAGAGAGTGATACTACAGTTCTTCTTTTTTGAAGAAAAGAAACAACTATGTACTTTTGGGATGCAAAAAGTATGAGAAGAATGAAAACTAATCTTGCTGAAGTAATAGCAGGTGGCACATCAGGGAAAGCGAAATGTCAGGCTGACGGAGTTGGAGCTCTTTCATTCTAGTGGTGGGAGAGCCAAGAAACAGAGGGACTGGTGAGACCAGACATAAACACATCAAGGCCTGTTGCTAGAGGGGAGACATATGGAGAGTCAAGAAAGGACAGACAGACACACACACAGAGACAGAGATATTACTTATGAATACATTTTTAAAAGAAAGCAGGACACAGGGCTTAAACAAAGACAATGATGGAAAACTGATTTGAGGAATATTAAAGTTTCAGTTTGATAGGACTTAGTGAGTTCAGTTTCAAATATTTCAATTTGAGGAACGAGTGAAAGTAAGGCAGTTAGTCATATAAATCTGAAATTCATGGTAAAGACCTGAGAAAAAGATGTATTACTTGAAGGTCGTTCCTAGTTGAAACAGCATGAATAGATGTGATGGCCTATAGAGAAAGTATATACGAAAGTGGGCCAAACATGGAGTTGTAGGGAACATCAACATTTAGGGGCTGGGGAGATAGTTTGGTGGTCTAGGCGCCTACCTAGTACGCACAAGGACCTGGGTTCAATCCCAGTACCTCATGTAATGCCAGCCCAGCCTCTATACCAAACAAATAAGTAAAAGATTTTTTTTAATTAAAAAAAAAGTGGTCAGAGGAGAAAAGAAAACTTCAAGGAAAAAGTGGTCAGCAATAAAGGCAGCAGAAACATCTATTACAAAAAAACAAAAGAATAATATTTGGCAATTAGACTGTCATTTATGACAACTCAAGTACAACTTCAGTGAAAGTGTGGGGGTTAAAAGACCATAAAAAAAGCCAGGTGTGTGGCACATGCCTGTAATCCCAGCACACTGAAGGCTGAGGCAGGAGGATCACTATGAGTTCAAGACCAGCCTGGGGAAAAAAAAAAAAAAAAAAACCAGCCTGGGCTACAAAGTGAGCTCATGGCCAGCCTGAACTGCATAGTGAGACCCTACCTCCCCCAAACCAGGAAAAAAAAAAAAAAAAAAAAAAAAAAAAAAAAATATATATATATATATATATATATATATAGAGAGAGAGAGAGAGAGAGAGAGAGAGAGAGAGAGAGCACACCACAAGGCACATGTACTCTACTCTTAGAAGAACAGGGGGCTCCAGCTACAGAGGAGCTTCTTTTCTTATTTTTATTAGATTGAAAGAGACATTTTTTTGAGGGGTGGGTCTTTTTGAGACAGGGTCTTACTTGGAAGTTCAGGCTGGGCTTGAGCTCACTTTGTAGCCCAGGCTGGTCTCAAACTTTTTTTTTTTTTTTTTTTTGGCGGAGCCGGGGATTGAACTCAGGCCCTTGAGCTTGCCAGGCAAGTGATTATTCAACTGAGCTATCTCCCCGGCCCCCTGGTCTCAAACTTTTGACAATCCTCCTGCCTCAGCCTCCCAAGTGCTATGATTATAGGAGTGCGCCACCACGCCTGGCTCCAGATGAATGAGACTTTATAGAAGGGGTGTCAAGAAGAGCCAGGAGAGAAGGAGGGACTGGAAACACAGGGCAAGGCACAGATAAGTGAAGACATCAGTTCTCTGCAGACCATCTCTGAGTACTTCCTCCTACATGCCTAGTCATTATCTTAAAATATCACAAGTGTGAGGAGTACAGTGTGACCTCTTTTTTGCACCTTATCTTTCTAGAAGCTTTCCATGTCAGTAAACAGCACTAATATTACCTGGTGCTAATGGAGTGAAGAACTCATCTCTGTCCCTGGCCCCTCCTTTTCCTTCACTCCCCAGATAACATCAATACAATGTCTACCTTTTAATGCTTCTCAAATCTTTCAACTTCTATGTCATTCACATGCTTGAAAATCCTTTACGGGTGGCTACAAATTGGCTCAGTTATAAAACAAGTACCTGGTATGTACAATGCCCTGAGATGTTTGAGCCCCAGCACTGTACCCCCTTTGTCTGTGAGGAAATCCTTTCATGGCTTTAGATCCTTTACATAAATCTACACCTGGCTGTCTCTCTGGCTGTCTCCCTCTTCGGCTCCTGCCCCTCTGGATCCCTGCACTCCTCCGATCCTTACACCGCTGCCTGATCATCATGGCAGCTGAGAGGATGACGCTTCCCTGATGCATAGAGCACACTGTCTCTTCTCCAAGGCACATGTCACAACTGTAACTCATCAGCAACTTACACGAGTATTTAACGTCTGTCTTTCCCATTACACTCACACTTCTGGGAGACATACACAGAGTTCCGTCTTCTGTTTAATGCCATAGTCTGTTGGTGGAATACAGTAGACTCAAAGTATATCATCAATGAGAAGAATCAATGAGTAAAGGATTAACTCTGAGCAGGAAAAAGCACATCTACTCCTGACACTGCCAGGAATAAAGTGAAGATGTGCATCAATGCTGGTGAGGTAAAAGTAGTCACGGTGGTACCAGGAGTAATGAAGCAAAGGCAGGCGCAAAAGTTCACCTTTTTTCCTCTTTCTTTCCCTTTTTTTGGAGACAGGATTTGCTAGGTACTCCAGGCTGGCCTCAAAGTCATGGCAATCCTCTTGCCCCTGCCTCCACCCCGGGCACAATTCACCTCATATTACTGTTTTTGTTACACTGACAGTGTGCTTCGTGAGGGAAAACAGCACCCAAGAAGAGACATTCAAAAATGTCGGAAATACCTGATAATATTTTCTTTTCTCGTTATTTAAAACAATATTTTAATTGCATAATTGTTGGAAAACTTTTTTGGTGGGGGGCTTTTTGAGACAGGGTCTTACTCTGCAGCGTAGGCTGGACTTGAGCTCACTTTGTAGCCCAGGCTGGTCTCAAACTCACAATGATCCTCCTGCCTCAGTCTCCCGAGTGCTGGGATTACAGGCATGCGTCACCACGCCCAGCACAACTTGGTTCTTTTTTTTTTTTTTTTCTTTAAAGATAACATGAAGCTAAATAACATGCAGCTGATTACAATAAATTCCTTACTGGTGGGATCCAAATTAATGTTTCATTGGTACTCCCTGGCCAATCAGGTAAGATATAAATTACCACAAAAATCTCACTCTATGGGCAATTACTGTCTACATCTAGCAGTGTATCAGTGTGGAAAATAAATAGCTTTGAATTCAGCAGGTTTTGGTACTTCATAGCAGACAACAGCGGTTTGTTCTTGGAGAAAATACAATTCCAGACTCATCTTCCCACTGTCTTTCCAGGTACAAGTGGCAGGGAGTCTAAAGCCTGTGCACACAGCTTTGTCTTGTTAAATACAACAGCTCTGCCTGAGTTCTTACCACTCTCCTTCCACATAGGCTTGTGCAATTCCACACTGCTTTCTCATTAGCTGAGATTCTACCTCCTCCATACTGTGAGGCAGGCGTGAAGAAGTCACTAGAATGACCAGGAACACCTTTGAGACTTCCTCTTCTGCCTTTCCTTCAAGGCAGATATCTATCCTCTCTACTTTCTGGGTCACCCGCTATCTACTCAGCTCACTAAACTGTGTTCCCAACCCTGGTCCAAAACAGTTCCAACACTCTAGCGCTCCACCTGCCAATGAATGCTCTGCTTTGACCCAGAGGGATCTTTTTGTTTTGAGACCGGTTTCACTATGTTGCAAAGGCTGTTCTTGAACTTCTGAGCTCCAGTAATGTGGAGCCATAGGCATGCACTACCATGCCTGGCTTCTCTCATTTTTAAGAGTGCCCTATTAACATGGACAAATCCTTCAATGAGCAATTGAAGACATTTTCTTATTCAGAGCAGTGGAATCTTTTACTCTGGCAGGTCAGAGGCTAGAAGTCCTAGTTTAGAGAAAAGGATAAAAGCCATGATATAAAAATGAGAGGACAGCTGGCCTCACTAGCTATGTCTGTCTGTCTGTCTGTCTGTCTGTCTGTCTTTCTTTCTTTCTTTCTTTCTTTCTTTCTTTCTTTCTTTCTTTCTTATAGCTAGGTCTTTCCACCACAATGTTTCTAACTGCTAACTTGATAGCAGGCCTCTTTGTTCAGCTCACATCAGGATCCTTAAAGGACTGCTATCGAACCCTGCCTGTAAAAATGTTGCTCCTCCATAAGCACTGAGCCCTACCCCTAAATTCATCTATGAAGAAGTTATGTCACAAAGAAGAAAAAGAAGAAAGAACTTAGTTCACCCCTTGGAAAGGCCCGGCCCCCAAATTTGAGGCCAGTAAGTGAGTTCACTTGTAGACCTTACCTTTAAAATTCAACACATCAAAACAACCAGCTAGTAACTCATGCCTGTGAACCTTCCACAACACTGTAGAAGTCGCACGTGACAACAAAGCTCTAGGTACGGGTGAGGAAAGACATTTGGGACAGAGGCTTTTCCAAGGCCACATAATTGCCTAATAGCAGAACCACTTCCTTATCACTTCTACTGTCCTGTTGTTTTCACTTTGGCCATGCAGACATATACAATTGTATATTTTCCTGGACCTAAAATAATCTTCAAATCTAAAATAATTTTCTTGAGATTGATGTCAAGATTTCCAGGCCACCTCCTAAAATTCCTTAAACAATTATTTTATGAAGTTGCAATAAAATACATTTATGTGTTAAATAAGTGATTTTACAGAAGTTAATTATAAGATCAGTATAGATTATAAAATATAGTTCAGGACAAAGGCATTAAAACTACTTTTAGTAGTTATAAGTACTCCATAACAGGCTCTAATTTTAAAAAATTAAATAAATAAAATGAACGCTAAAACTTCTGGTGTTCACTCCCCAGTTCCACAAAAATAAATAAATAAATAAATAAATAAATAAATAAAACTTCTGGTGTTGAGAAAACACTATTCTACCCTAAAACAAAACAGTTAAGGTGCATAAACCAAGTAAGTTTATTATACGTACTTAAAGCTCTAGAATGATCCGGGTTCCTTATTCCCTTTGCTCGTAACCTCTGAAGAAGAACTGTTGAGGACAACTGTTTTACAAGATATACTGCCATGGAATAGGTCTGGAAAAAAAAAAAAAAAAAAAGATGTAGAAAATAAACAACATATGTAAGTAAGTAGTATATCTATTTCAATCCCACAGCAACAGGGAAAGAAAACGAACACTTCTTAAAACACCTACTGTGTGCCACACACTATCTTGGGCGTTTTCATGAACAGTAAGTAACTGAATCCTGATGAGAGCTACTAGGGTGGTCATGAACCTATTTTTAGAGGTGAGAAAACTGAAATGTGGAGGAGTAACAAAATCTGCCCTAGTTTTACAGCTTCTCAGTGACAAGCTCAGAATTTAAACCCAGGCCTGCCATGCTTCTACTTTGCCTGACTACCTACAATTTAAGTTAATGCATTTAAGGTAAGACAAGAAAGAGTACTGTTAATAACTAAACCTAAACCAAGGTCATGAAGATGTCCAAGATACCTTAAATCACATACTGTACAGTAAATAGCAAATATGTTGAGAATATAGCTATTTAAATAATCTTAAGTAGGAATGGCTTTCTCAACTATACTTTTTAACCATTCTCTATGCCTTCTACTAGCGCTTTTTTTTTTTTTGGTGGAAGCTGGGATTGAACTCAGGTCCCTGTGCTTGCCAGGGAAGCGCTTATTCCACTGAGCCATCTCCTCGGCCCCATTCTACTAGCTCTTGAAGGACTATGTGGTCATGATCAAACAAGCAGATGAAATATTAAAGACAGCTTGTAAACAGAAGCTGCTGATTTGGCAAAAGAAAAGATCAATGAGTATCCACTTCCATCAGAGGGAATTCTCAGAGATAACAGCCACAGGAAAGAACCATGAAAACAGACACCAAGCTAGGGCTGGGTGAAGGACACATGCTTGGAAAAAAGAAAAGAGGGTGAAGACTTATGAAAGCTGGAACAGCAACCCAAGCAAAAAGATCATTTCTATTGGGTGCTGGGATGAAGAACACCACCAAGAAATCTGAAAAGAAGCAATAAAAAAAATAATCACTACCATTTTATAGCTACACACAGTGTTCAGAGCATTCTTAACATATACAGTACTGTCAACTTCATTTAAAGTTTGTAGAGGCCTAGGAGAGAGATATGATAGGATGTGGTATGAGAGAAAACATTAGGTACTGTTCTAGGTGAAGGGTTGATAAAGTTGCACAGGCCCAAAATGATTACATAATCTGTTCATGATCATGTACCTACTTAAACATAGCAGGAACCAGAAACCAAGAAGAAAGGGCAAGGATGCCAGGGCTTAATGATCAAGCCCAGTATAGTCCTCAATAATTCTTCTGTTCACAGAGCCTATTTGCTTGAACCTCCTAGCCTAGTCTGATAGCCATTCTAATTTTCTCTGGAAAATGTATTTTCTTGGAGACGAGAAAATATTCTACAGGTAATATTTTTATTTAAAGTCCAGAGATCTAGCCAGGTGTGGTGGTGCAGCCCTGTAATCCCAGGATTTGGGAGGCTGAGGCGGGAGGATCAATGCGAGTTTGAGACCAGCTTGAGCTGCAAAGTGAGCTCAAGGACTGGACTACACAGAAAGACCCTGTCTCAATAAAATATAAATAAATATAAAGTTCAGAAATCTACCCATGTTCACATGCTGTATATTTTGTGGGGGTAAAACATGAAGCATCAACAAGATAAATTTTTTTCACTGCTAAATTTCTCATTATATTAAGGAGAAACAACCTTAAAACATTCCTAAATTTTAGAGCAGAAAATGTATTAATCTAATATAGAACTGATAAACTTCTCTTAGGGGAAAAGAATGCTTTATTTACCATTACTACTTACTTGCTTAATGTTTCAAATATAACAGAAACTGAAGAAATGCTAACTAACACTGACTGTACTGACAGCTTGAATCTTTGGAACTTGGAATTACCCTAAGGCTTTATATAAATATTTAGGAAGAGATCAAGTAAAAACCACAACAACAAGTTCAGTGAAAAAGGTATGTTCACTATAGTTGAAACATGTAAACAAACAAAAAAGAAAACAACAGCTGCAAAAAGAACTCCAGGTATTAACAAATGCTACTTATGGAATTTTATATCATTGGATAGATTCAACAGCAAAAAATCTCCCAAACTTTATAATGGCACAGTGTGTCTTCTAAGTAGATATTATAATTTCCTGCTAACCCTTCAAAGTACTAACTCCAAGCTGATGAGATAGCTCAGGAGACTAAGCACCTTGCTCAGGCAAGTGCGCCAGCCCATCCCGGGGTGCACTGAGCCAGCCACAAGTCCAGGCATGGTGGCACATGCCTGTAATCTCAGCTCTGGAGAGGCTGAAAACAGGAGGATCACTTTAAGTCTGAGCTGCCTAGAAGACCCTGTACCAAATACACAAAGTACTAACTTCAACATATATTGTGTTACACTGTTGTTTTGGCCTACTGCTTTTCAAAAGCCTTCAAAATTACTGAGTGTGCAATATGCTTTCTCCATACTTAAAATATAATCTCATTTTGAACACTGTACAGCAGTATCTAAATAATTTCTTTTTCTTTTTTTCCCCATAATTTTATTGATAAACAAATAGCAATGAGAAAGTTGCAAATCAAATTGGTAGGACAGTTTCAATAATTAACACACTGCATACATTCTTCCTAGTGGTTAATTGCTGTACAAGATGCGGACTTGATATCTTATTTACAAACACCATTAGAACAAATCATTCTATTCATTAAGAGAATGTAACTATATCCAAACTACTCTGAATACACAGATACAATAGTCTGTATACCTTTTTTTTTTGTTAAGTTCTGTTATTTGAATATGATAGGTGTGTAAACTCAGCAAAATATTCTAAGAGTCCAAGAGCCCATAATAGTATTGGGTCTTCTGCTTGACTGGCAATGTCAGAAATTGTTGACCTGAGTCCCCCACAGCTCAACATAACTGCATGGCTTTACTTCTAGGAAAGCGGCTTTCTTTTCTTTTCTTTTTTTTAAAATTTTATTTATTTATTTATTTGTGTGTGTGTGTGTGTGTGTGTGTGTGTGTGTGTGTGGCCAGCTCAGCCCACCAGGGGGCGGGGCTGGCTGGCATGTGGTGCTGGGGGATTGAACCGCGGTCCCTGTGCTTTGCTAAGCTTGTTCTAAGTAGGTGCTTTAGACCACTGAGCCATCTCACCAGCCCTATTTATTTTCTTTGAAAAGACATATTCATAGTATTTCTTAAAAGCAACCAATCAAAATGACATGCAAAACAGATTCTACATGAACTATTCAGAGTACTTTTACAAGTTAATTAAAATAGTATTTTAGGGGCTGGGGAGATGGCTCAGTGGAATAAGTGCTTCTCTGGCAAGCTCAAGGACCGAGTTCAATCCCCAGTTCTGCAAAAAAAAAAAAAAAAAAAAAAAAAAAAAAAAAAAAGCTGGTAAACTGGGTCTCTGTTATTTGCTTTAAAAATAAAATAGTATTTTAAAATTAATCAGTTATCTTTTGAGTTTTGGAAAAAGCTAATTCTTTGAAAGACTAATTTTCTTTCAAAAGTTCGTTTATTTTCAAAAGGTTTCCAATTTGTAGCCCTCTCTGGTCTCTGCAGTTTGGGAGCTTTCTCTGGAAGACCTTCTCTTGTTCCTGCACACTGTCAATGGTTTCAAGCCTCTTTCATGTTTCTCTGGGAACACCACAGCCCTTCCTTGGTGGCTACAAACTTCATACACAGAAACAAAGCACTTTCTTTTTCTTTTTCTTCTCATCTTTTTTTTAAAAAAAATATAGTTGGTACAGGGTCTTACTATGCAGTTTGGATGGGAAGTGATCCTCCTGTATGCACAGCCTCCCCAGCGCTGGGATTTCAGGCATGTGCCACTATGCTTCGTCTCAGTGGCCAGCTCAGTAGATGATCCAGGTTTTCATTAGCTCAATTTATCTCTGAGTCTACGAACCCAAATACCTATTCTGGGTGTTTCCAAGGTAGCTCAAACTGAAAACTTCCAAACCAGCTCTCCAATGTGCCCCACTCCAAAGCAAAACAATAAAGTACACTTATTTCAGCTGTTTCTCAGAGTTTCCTCTATCTCAGTCGAGTATCACTCACTTTGTGCCCAAGCCAGAAGTCAAAAGGTCATCCATGTCACCTCCTTTCTCGTGTTCCCACTTCTAACCATCACCTAATCTGGCAGATCCTACTACCCTAGGCTGTGACACCATCTCACTCACTGATACTTCTGCATAGCTCACTCCCGGGAGGCCACTTCTGCACGATTCTGGCCTCTGTGCACACTATTTCCTACTCTGAAAGGTGAAGAAGGCCTCTACCTAAACAGAAAACGTTCACAACACTCCCAAGCCCTGCGTGGCTTAGCCTTACTTCTCCAGGCCAACCTCATCTAATGGGTGTGCATACTCACGCTCTCTCTCAAGCCCCTCCCCGTCCCCGCTTCTCTCTCTCTGAGACAAGGTCTCACTGTGTAGTTCAGGCTGGCCTTGAATTCACTTTATGGCCCAGGCTGGCTGTACCTGGCTCTTTCTCACTTGCTCTAGCTGAAATGGCTCTTTAGCTCGTTGGAGATAAGCAGGTTCACTCCCTGCTGTGCTGTCGTGCAGGCTGCTTCTTCTGTGCCTTTTAGCTAACCCACTCTGACCTTTCTCTCGGCTGCTGGCCCAGTCAGTGCTTCCACATAGATGCCCTCCCAGATGTCTCTTTAGTTCAGCATTCCCTAATACACTCAAGAAGCCAAGTGTGTGCTAGCGCACACCTGTAGTCCCAGCTTTTGGGAGGCTGAGGCAGGAGGATGAATTTGAAGCCAGCCTGGGCTACAAAGTGAGTTCCAGGCCAGCCTAAACTGCACAGCAAAACCCTGTCTAAAAAAAAAAAACAGCCATGAAAAAGCACTCTAGAATCACGATGTACTCTTGGTATAGTGCTCAGTAAGTTGTGTGTAACCACCAAGTGCCTACATCACAGGCCCCATGGGAAGAACTTTTTTCCTCCCTATAGTACTGTCCCAGTTTTCAGCATAGTACACTGCACATAGTAAACATTCAATAAATTTCAAATAGATCTGAGTTAATATTACCAGGCTATAATTATTTTAAAACTACAACTTAAAGAATAATTGCCCCAGAAAGAATTCAAGAAATACATCTAGGATATATAAGAATTAAATAGACAACAATTGTAGCTTCAGAATCATTTAAGCTAATGGTATTAGGACTAAAAAAATTTTTAGTCTCATAGAACATATAAAACTAAATAATGAACTTTGTAAAGGTAAAACATAGACCCTGGAAGTCTAGAAGTCTAGCACATCCATCAGGCTGGGCAGACAGCAGGCTGCACTAGACAAGCAGAGATTACAAGGGGGAAACTAGGGAAGACCCTGTTCGGAGATGACTTAAATCTTTTGCACAGTAAATAATCACATAAATAAAAACAAAAGGCTAGCAAACTAGAAAGAAACATTTGCAACATGTAATAAAAGGTTAATTCTCCTCCCTCTTAGCTTCCTTTTTTCCTTTTTCATTTTTTGGAAACAAGGTCTTGCCATGCTGCTGGCGAGGACTGCAGGTGTACACTACACACTGTGAAGGTTTGCGTCTAGATATTCCTGTAAAACTTCATAAGGTCATTGTGTTTTCGTCAGATCTGGCTGAATCCAGAGTGACTGATTCACACTGCAATGCTGGGATTAAGGGTGCTGGGATTAAGAGTGAGTGACTGCTCATCAGCTATCATCCTAATCCCTAATCCTGATAGGCTGTATATAAGGGACAGAAAGGTTTGTCTCTGCTGGGCATGATGGTACATGCCTGCAATCTCAGCACTCAAATGGCTGAGGCAAGAGGATTACTATGAGTTCAAATCCAGCCTGAACTACACAGGGAGACCCTGTCTCAAGGAAACAAACAAACAAACAGGCTTATACCTCTCCCTTGCTTTTGCTCTCTTCCACCACCATGAAATGTTTTTTGTCTGGGACGCCCCTCTGCT